GACAACAGGTGGCAGCTCCCAACCAGGGACAGACCCAGACTCCTTCCCATACTTTAAGGCCCTGGACTGCATCTTGGGAGCCCGAACAGTCCATGTCCCCCAGGTGGTCATTGACCCAGAGGCACAGGGCCCTGACCGGGGCATGGAGCAGGAGGATGACCAGGAGTCACAGGAGCCTGGAGGGAGTGTGACACTCACCCTGGACCCCCGAGGCATACAGCAGCAATATCACCACTGTCTTCCAAGGCTGGGGAGGCCTTGACATGTGAGTATCATCACTGTCCAGTTATGCAGGGCGGGAATGGGGGGAGAGGGAGCCCAGGGACTGTGCGTGTAGGCCTTGCTGACCACAGATCATGCAGCAACCTGTGCATATGCCATGCCATGCCTGGTGGATAGGCTGCATCTCCCACCAGGTACACTGGCATGTCCATGTCCCCAACCCTAATGTGGTGCTCGGGGAAGACACAGCCTGCAGGATCACGGAGAAGTACCCCTTCCTGTTAATGTAGAGGAAGGCCTCGTGTTCCAGGGCATGGATGAGGATGTGTGCCCCATTGATTGCTCCCCCCACCCCAGTTGGGGAATTCCAGGGCGCCAAACCCCTCAATGACCGAATCCACATCGGTGAGGCGGATGACTCTGTGGAATAGCACTCTGTTGATGGCCTTGACCACCTGCAGAGAGACTCACAAAACCACTGAGAGTCACTGGGGTGCCTTGGTGGCTTAGAGTGCTTTCCCTGCCACTGCCCTGTGCCCCTTCCCCAGAAGCAACCCCCCCTGCAATCCTGGCCCCGTGGGCAGTCTGTAGTGCATCTGGGACAGACCAAACCCTCCCATGGAGGGGACGTGCACTACCTCCCCCCCTTTTCCCTAGGGCAGCCCATCCCCTCCTTGTACCATCCTCTGGCACAGTGGCCGGAGACTGCAATACCTGCATGAGCACTGCTCCGACGGTGGATCTCCCCGTGCCAAACTGGTTCCCCACGGATTGGTAGCTATCCGGTGTGAAGAGCTTCCATAGGGCAATGGCCACATGCTTATGGAGGGGAATGGCGGGCTTCATGTGCGTGTCCCATCGCTGCAGAGCAGAGGTGAGCCACTCACAGAGCATGAGGAAGATGTCCTTCTTCATTCTGAAGTTCTGGGTCCATTGTTGGTCTCCCCAGTGCTCCAGGATGATGTGGTCCCACCATTCGCTACTGGTGTCCAGGTGCCAGATGTGGCAGGGCATGCTGGCATCCAGCCGCTGCTCCTTCCCATCTCCCAGGGGGGTCCAGAAGAGGACCTGGGGGTTGGGTCAGATGGTGCCAGGCAGTCTTCAGTGCTTGCTGCCAGGCTTGCAGCAAGACATTGAAAATGAGCACCAGAGTGCTTAGAGGCAGCTCTGGCGCCATGGTGCTGAGTGCTGTGGTGTCCTGAGTCAGGGCAACCAAAGCAGACAGACAGAAAAATGCTTTGCTGTCCTTCAGCGAGGTAGGCAAGCAAGCATGAAAATCTGATAACCGGTTGTCCAGGGGGGTCCCTTTAAGCATAAGCCACACAAAGCAACTACTGACCTGATGACCTGCTAGAACCGATTTCAGCTGCCCTTAAATGTGATTCAGCATCCAATCATTGTAGATGTGCTATTTCAAAATAGCAAAATTCTATTTTGAAATGCATTTTATGTGTAGACGCATTATTTTGAAATAATTTATTTCAAATTAACTATTTTGAAATAACGCTGTAGTGTAGACATACCCATAGAGAATAGAAATAGATCTTTACACTGTATATTTTGGGCTGTGTCTAGACTACATCCCCTTTTCGTTAAAGAGATGTTAATTAGGCACGTCGATATTACAAATGAAGCCGGGATTTGAATTTCCCACGCTTCATTTGCGTAATGGTGGCTGCCGCTTTTTTTCTAAACAGGGTTTTTTTTTAAAAAAGCCCGGCAGTTTACACGGGGCATTTTCAACAAAAATGCCTCGTTTTGAAAGATCCTGTACTTCCAAAAATGAGGAATACAGGATCTTTTGAAATGGGGCATTTCTGATGAAAATGCCCCATCTAAACTGCTGATTTTTTTTTCTTCCGAAAAAGCCCCGTTCCAAAAAAAAAAAAAAGTAGAATCTGCCATTACGTAAATGAAGCGTGGGAAATTCAAATACTGGCTTCATTTGCAATATCGACAAGCCTAATTCACATCCCTTTGTAGTAAATTGAGGGTCAGTAACATGGAGTCAGCAGGCCTAAACAGAGGCCTGTAACATGAAAACAGCAACAGACCTGCAATCTAGTGAGCAAGACTTTGGTTCAGTAACAGGAGCCAAGAAAGAGGCCCTATTGATAACTGTGCGATTGTATAAGTTAGGTCGAGCATGGAAGGACACAGGGAGGTACTGGGTACAGACTGTAAGCCAAAGGGGAGTAATGGAACATCTTAATAAGAAATGTCTTGGTACAAAAACTCCCTAAAAACTAATGCACATACCGACCTAGGTTCAGGACTGGGTCGAAATTGACAGCATGAAGGATAGTAAGTAAACCCCCCTTCCGTAAGGTAAGGGGTGGTAACTAGGCAACAGAGGGTGGTAACCTGGTACATAAAGAAATGATGTAAGTTGTTTGTTTACCAAAAAAGGAGTGTAGAGTAGATGTAGCTTTGCAGTTGTTGCTGAATTTCTAACTCCATACTTCAGTGGGAAGAGGGGACTGTAATGCTGCCAGATAAATGCTCTTCTACAGCATATGGACTGAGTTCAGGCTAGTAACTCCTTCTCAAGCCCCTGTAGTTTGATGTTAAAGAAACATTTCACATTTGCATAATGCAGTTTTATAGGCAGATTTATGTATGTCTGTTTGTGGATTATTGCTCTCCCTCACTGGACTGATTATAGTGGAGGAGTTATTTGCATCTAAGTAAATTTCCATCATTACCTTTATAACTGGGGCTTTGTCTTTTCTCCATAGAAATAGCAATGTGGTGGTCTCCACACAGCCAACCATGCCACTAAAAGTCCATGTAAATGCATTTTGTCAGCACTTTTGCTGACAGAATACTTCCACCTTCAACAAGCATGGTTAAGGTTGGTGATAGAAGAATGCTCACGCTGACAAGATGTTGTTTACACTAGCATTTTCTGTGGCAAAACTTTTGTCTTGGGGGGAGGGTTAGCACCTCTGAACAATAAGTTTTGTCACTCAATTGCCAGTGTAGAATATAGCCTAGAACTGCTGCTTTATATAACAAGGAAGAAATCTTGAGTTTGGGAAGACTTGATTTCCAGTCTGCACTCATATGTGTGTAGTGAGTTCAGGAGCAAGGGTCAGCAGTAATAACGGGGGACTAGAAGGCCTACCCCACTTTGTGAACCTGTACTGTTGGAAAGTAAAAACAAGTTTGTAAAGTTATCACTGTAACCTTTAACAATGTATGTTGATAGAAAAAGTGCAAATGGAAGCCAGAGGGACTAAATCAGTCCAAACTAAAAGGCCTTCTGACATGAATCTGGAGACTATGTTTAAATCATGCCTGTCAAACAGAAGATGTATGGGATGAAAAAGCAGCAAATCAAAGTTATTGTGTGGAAAATTAGGCTGAATTAGTCAACCAAATAACAAGAGCACTGACTGTTCCACCTATCCCGTCCTTTGGATTTCTTAAAAGTAATTTTAGGAGGAAAATGTGAACAAGTATGGATGCTAGCTGACTGAAGGATGGAGGAACAGGAGCTACACCATCATGGCTGTTACCCCTACAATCTTTTGAAATCCCAGGATTCACTATAACACTCTAGGGCTATATTTGCACTACAAGGTTTTTGCGGCAGAGAGTATGCTAATGATGGACTCATTAGCACGAGTCACAATGTCATAAGCATATTTTCTGCCAATGCTTTTTGCGGAAGGAGTTTTTGCACAATAAGAAGCAGTGTAGCTGCTTTCATTTTGTGCCAAAAAATCCTTTTGTGATCTTGAGCAAAAGGGGGGGTTGTGCAAATAGAAGCTGCTACACTGCTTCTTTTTGCACAAAAACCCATTGCACAAAAAGTATCCACAGAAAATGTGCTAATGACAAGCTTGTAGCGTAGACAAAACCCTGACTTTTGTCATCCTGATCTGGAGAAATGCCCTGACAAGACTGAGCCAAAGAGAGGGACCCAGAAAACATTATCACCTCCAGTGGTTTTAGATAAATCTCAAACATTTCCAATAATATGAGATCAGATTATCCTCCTCCCTTTTTGTACCCTTTTCCTCCCCTAGCTCATTTATTTTCTCTCTCTTTTTGCAACACTGCTGTATAAGCCTGTGATCAGAAAGGCAGCAACAATGCCATAAAAAGCCTGAGAATGATACAAGTTTGCCAAGTCTGGAGGTGTCAGATGAGACATTGAGCCATGCCTGTGTTTCCCCAGCAGCAAAGTTTCAAGGAGTCAACACCAAAGTCAGAAGCAGCATTTTCTATCTTTGCTGCCCCCACTTTTGTGTGTTTGTCATGTTTTATCTTCCAACAGGACTGGATTTTAACAACACCCTCAAGAACAGCTCCAGCCCATCTCCACGAACTTCTCTTTTCTCCAAAATTGAGGGGAGGGGGTAAGCACTTTATATTTCAAATGCTATAATTGCTTTTCCTTCTTTTTCAATCTTTCTATATCTATAGGATACGTCTACACTTGCTCCCTAGTTCAAGTTAGGGATGCAACTGTAGCCGACCAAAATTGCTAATGAAGCAGGGATTTAAATAGCCTGCTCTTCATTAGCATAATCTCACCCGTGCGTTATTCCGCTCAACAGCTGATTCGAATCAGGAAGTGTGCTCCAGGACGCATTAGTTCGAATCAAACCCTTTGGTTCGAACTAACGTTACTCCTCATTTTTTGTCCCACTCTATGTTCTAGGGCTATAGAGACAAAGAACAGGAAGAGGTTTTTGTAGAGGGCAGAGGTAACTCTGAAGTGCCGTGTCAGCCTTGCTGGCGCAGAAATACACAGCTGAGTCCTCTACCTGCACAGATGAGATGTTCAAGCGAAAGAGATCATCCTGTGGCTGGTCAGCCTGGAAGCGAGTCAAATTTTCACCTTTCTCTATTTCTTTTTTATAGTTGAAGTAAAAGAGCAGCTGCAGTCCCTGCCCTGTATCCTGCCGATACCAGAACATGCTGTCATGTTGATAGGTTTGCTGACATCTGAGATAGGCAGTTTGTCCTCTCTCCAACACCAGGCTTGATGTTTGAGTAATTTTAGCATCTGTTTGGCCTGTGGGGGAAGACACAAAACACAGAGGACTTGCACAATGAAACAAGCAGCTCAGAGGAAAACATTTATATCTGAATCCAGCAAATGCTAAGACAAGGATTTTTTCCCCAGCCAATGACTTACTTGATCCTAAGAGATACATGGCTGCACACCACACTAGGCTCATCCCCATTTCTGTCTCAGTGAGTAGTGGGTAGCTCCCAGCCTGGGATTAAATTGCTTCTAGGTACTAGTGGGTGGAGTCTATTTATGTTTTCCATAGACACAGGGTGTCACTTCTGTTGAGGGTTGATTGTCTCTGGCTGTGACCCTAGGAAAAGTGTGTGGTACTGGGAAATGTACGGTTAAGTGGATTAGTGTCTGAGACAGACTGTATGGTGGAGCTGTGCTGCAGAAATCCATAGTCTCTTAGGCAAAAATAGTTAAGAAACTGCACTATTGGATAAAGGGCTTCTCTCTGAAATACCGCAAGCCCAGACTGATCACTGAACACCACACAGTACAAAGAGAAAACAGAAATTTCAAAAGTAACCCAAGAGAAAGAATGGAGCAACTAAAAGTTCTACCACAGGTGAAACACTCCAGAAACATGGAGGACACAGTCATTCCGCCGCTTATTTTCAGGAAGAACGGCTCTGTGCAAGAGGGTTTTTTTGCACAAGAAGGAACAGTCTAGACAGCTCCTTCTTGCACAAAAGCCCATGCCTCAAAAATGGCAGCTCATTAGGTATGCAAATGAGGTGTGGCGATATTCATCCCTATGCCTCATTTGCATATCTTATTGCGCAACAATGTGTGGTGTAGACATAGCCAGCACGTGTTTGAAGCTGGAGCTGGCCCACACTAGCTAAACTTAATTTTGCTGGTCGTGGGCCTGGAAGAGCAAACAAGCTTCAGCACATGCTGAGCCTGTGAGTGTAGCCCAAGGTTCTGAGTGGGTTTGTCTAGTCTCTTCTTAAAATTGCATTGTCGTGGCTTCATTGTTCCACTGTCTGAGCTAGTGAAATTAAAGTTAGGTCTGATAGATTGACTTTAGCAGTAATCACATCCAGGAACTAAGACACGGGCAAAGAGAGAGAGACCTACATGGAGAACAGGATCTTTTTTAATAGAAAAAGGACAGTTTGGGCACAATTCCATTACACAGATATATTTGAACATTTTGTTCTCATTCCAGTGAAGAACAAAAATGAATTTTGAAAGCTCCAAAGTGGTGGCAGAACAGAATGGTCCTGCGGTCGCTAGTTCTATTACTGACACAAATCTGGTTTCTTAGGGTAGATGAAGAGCACCACCAAGTGGTGGACAAGGAATTTGTACATCAGTGTTTCTCAAAGGGTACATCTACTGCTGGTTTTTTCTGGGATTCTGGACGTATCCCGGAAACACTCTACCTCATGCAGGGAATGCTTTTTTTTTTTTTTTTTTTTGCAGAAGGGCAAACATGCTCTTTCGGGGAGCCCTATGTACCTCATTCTATGAGGAATAAGGGCTCCTCCAAAAGAAGAAGCTTTTCTGCCATTTTGCCCCATCTAGACAGGGCCAAACTGTGGAAAAGCCCCTTCCAGAAAAGCAATCAGAAAAAGCTATGCAAATTAAGGAGTGCAATTTGAGTAGTTTTTTTTCCCAAAAAAGGGCTATATTATAGACCTAGACAAAGTGATCCTCTAACCCGCTAACTGACCGCTCCGGTGTGTTTATTTACTGGCTCTGCAGTCACAGAGCCTCATGGCTCCCACTGGCTCCAGTTTGCTATTTGCAGCCAAGGGAAACCACGGGAAGTGGCATGGGCTGGGCCGCTGCTTTCCACAGCTCCCTTTGTCTGCAAATGGAGAACTGGAGCCAGTGGCAGGC